GCGGCTTGTTTTACAACGTCGTTGCCAAGCGACGAAAACCCAATCCCGATGGCAAGCACCGGGGGGGGCGGCTTGTTTTACAACGTCGTTACCAAGCGACGAAAACCCAACCCCGATGGCAAACACCGGGGGGCGGCTTGTTTTACAACGTCGTTGCCAGGCGACGAAAACCCAACCCCGATGGTAAACACCGGGGGGGGGGATGTCGTTTCTCGTTTGACGTCCCACGCGTCGACCCCCATGTTTCTGCCGGCTCCGGTTTCTTCCTGAAGCTCATTTAATTGTTTTGTCAGAACATTCACATTACCTGTCGCTGCTTCGCAAGACCTCCACATCCTATTTGGCCCTTCTGTGTGAATGCTCCTGCTACCGAGCTGTTGTTGTTCATGTCGTCGTTGTTGATGCTGCTGCTGCTGCCTTCTCCGGGAACAGGCTCTCTGGAGGATGTGGCGGACTGCTACCGCACCCTGGAGGGCCGAGGCTACCGTAGGCTGACCCCTCACTTCATTCCTCGGTGAGCACCAAATGCCCCTCTCTCTCCCGCACGCTTTTAGGTTGAGCTATGGTTTCATTCTTATCGTCGGGGGCCACTTGTTTTTCTCTCCTTCGGCATCCTCGTGGTCATCTTGTCCGTTGGCTGACGCGTGCTGTGCCGCGGATACGCGCTCATGTTTTTTTCCTTCCTCTCGTCCCCCTGAAAACACCAAGGATCTTGATCAACTTGGCGGCAGGGCACGTGGCCATCGAGCACGGCTTGAAGGGACCCAACCACGCCGTCGCCACCGCGTGTGCAACGGGGTGAGGACAGAAGGGTTGTTCGTGCAAGCAATAGACACGGCACACCTGGAGTGGGGTCGATCTATGGAGAGAGAGACAAGGACAGAGACAGAGACAGAGACAGAGACAGAGAGACAGATAGAGACGGAGAGAGACAGAGAGAGACAGAGAGGGAGAGGGAGAGATAGAGAGAGAGGGAGAGGGGGAGAGAGGAAGGAGAAGGGAGAAAGAACTTGCATCTCTGTATCTTCACCACCATGTATGCCAATCACTTCTTCCTTGCCCAATAGGGCCCACTCCGACCCCCTACCCTGCAGCGGCCGATTACACACGTTCCGTTTTCTTCCCTTGCAAGGTTGATTGTGTGCCTTCTTTTCTTCCTCCTCCACCTGCTTCGATTTGCCCTGTTTTGGATCTCATATCTTGCTCGATAATCTCCGTTTTGCTCCTCCGACTCGATCGGCTTTGCCCCACCTTGTCCCCCTCCTTTGCCTGCTCCGCCTTGGCTCAGTGCCCACGCGATCGGGGACGCGTTTCGCTTCGTCAAGCACGGTGATGCAGACGTGATGGTGTGCGGAGGTAGCGAAGGCTCCGTTCACGAGCCGGCCCTGGCCGGCTTCGCCAGGATGAACGCCCTATCCACAAGGTGCGTATGTACGTGTATGTGTACCGTAGGTTGGATAAGATTTCACACACCCTGGACCGATTGTCATAGCTCGACTACACGACGAAGAGGATGGCGAAATCCAAGTACACGTTTTCGGAAAGCTCTCGACGAGACGGTTCCAACGCCGCCATTTTCGGCACCGTCACTGCTGTTCCTACCGAGATATTGAGCTTCGGAAACCGGTCCAGGGGGTGTGATATCTTGCGCAACCTACGCTAGTTTTCGGGGCTTACCTTCGTCTGTCGAACAGTGCTGGCGGGACCCAGGGGTGCTCCTCGAGGATAGCTGTCGTGTGGCAGGATCGACAAATTTGTAGCCCGTGTAGTGCCGCCCCGCGGTGGTGACTGAGCTGTGAGGAGAAGTGCCGTTGTGGAAACGGACGCTGTTAACGGGGGGTGGCGTTTACTGTTCGATTGTGTCTGTTGAGCGGGTGGAATATCAATTACACGGCATATTATCAAGAACAGTCCCACGTGGAGCAGTCGATAAGAGTTGAAATCGGTAGGAGGGTCCCTCTTGCATTATTGGTTGTGCTTTGTGTATCATCGCCGCCGAAACCAGTAGATTGATTCAGCGGCAGCGGCACAGCCCTTGCCCTCGTTAGTTAACCGACTCAAATCACTGAGTGTTGATCGATTGATGTTCCTCTTGTCTGTTCTGTACCTTATTTTATGCTTGATTCGGGTCACCGCGGACGAGACTGCGAGGGGGGATCTAATCAACCTGCCAGATTGATGGATGCTGTGTAATGATGTCGTGATGAACAATGGCTGGTGATATGATCATCAGGTTCAACGAAGACCCAGAGAGGGCGTCACGGCCGTTCGACAAGGACAGGGATGGCTTCGTGTTAGCAGGCAAGGTGCTGAAACTCAAACACCTCTCACGACGTGCGACCTCGCCCCTCTTCTCGGCATGTACGCCACCATCTAAACGAAACCCAGGGCGCTGGTTTCTCATGTTTCTGTTCGATTCTGAAGTCCAGCTTGTCCGTAGGTTGTACACTTGAGAGTGGCATCGCGTGGTTGTGTGCATCTATTTTTGGTGTCAATCGTCTCGTGAGTCCGGTGTGCTGTTGCTGTCCTTTTGACCTTCGTGTACCCCCTGCTTTCCTCGTTGAAGACCACTCCGTTGCTCCCTCGCAGATGATAACACTACGGCGGCCGTTTGGGTATTGGCGTACTGGTTTATGTGTTTGTTTTCGTCCTCTTTGTTTCTTGGTCTTGTTTTTGTTCGGTTTCCTCCTGTGGGGGGGGCAAGCAGAGGGCGCAGCCGTCCTCGTCTTGGAAGAGATGGAGCACGCGCGAGATAGGGGAGCCAACATTATCGCTGAGGTACGTGGGTGGCTGGGAGGCTTGGTGGCGCTACGGGCGGGCACGTACTCGCGTGTCGGCGTGCGTTCAACACGGTGCTGCTGTGTGAGAAAGCGATATGACACCAGCAGCAGCAGGAAGCTGCACGCACGTGCGCCTGCAAGAGTAGAGATGGCCGGCCAAGTGCTCGCATTTTCTGCGGTTTTGGTCTGTGTCTGCACTGCCAGGCGATTTCTGGCAAAGACAGCGTTTGGGGTCCAAAGCATGGCCATGTTTTGTGGTCTTCGTGGCGCAGGTTGAGGGTGATAAGTATGCGACAACATGACAACACCGCCCCCTGCATCAGTCCTATTGGTTAACGTGAAGAAGCAAGAAAAAAATACGGTTTGTTGTCAACTTACATCGATACCTTCGGTTGTCAATGCTGCAGGAGTTCACATTCCTGGATAGGACGGCTTCACAGCGTTGCCTTCAAGTAGTACAGGGCATTTCCAACTCAGAGTGGCTTGTGAGCTTGATATTTTCCAATGATCTCTTTCAAGAACGTCTGTTCACAACTGGTCCTCCCCCCCCCCCCCCCCCCCCCCCCCCCCCCCCCCCCCCCCCCCCCCCCCCCCC